AAAAAAAAAAAAAAAAAAAAAATCTCCCAAAAGAACATAAGTCAACTCAACATATGATTACCACTGCTTGGCCCACAGCACCTGGCCATCAACGGCGGTGAGGTGTTCATCATCGAGACGTTTCCACGTCTTGATTGACTTCACGGGGCCCCACAATCCTTTTCCCGTTTTCTCGAGAGATGCAATTACCATTCTAGCCCTCCTGGCCCACCCAGCCTTCCCGTAGGCATGGTACCCAAAGCCACCAGCATAACACAAGTTTATGCCATTTAATTGGCCGCAGAAGTCATTTAAGTGATCATGGCCCGTGAAGACGGCCCTCACGTCCCCTGCCGCCACCATTGTCGTGAAGAATCCAGAGTTCACAGATGCCGAGCTAATGCCTTCCTGTTTGCCGCCTGTAAAGTTTGACGAGTCGAAGCTTGCGTATTCGGGTAGTGGAATGTGGAAGTACGCAAGCCCTGGGGCTGGACCATTTTGCTGTTCTGGCTTGTTCATATAACTCCTCTGCCATAAAAACAATTTTGTTTAACTGATTAAGCCCGTCTAAAAAACTACTAAAGAACGAGGGAGGGATCACAAATAAACACTAGCACTAAATACTAACTGGAGTTCTAAAATGGAAAAGCTGCAGAAAATGATTAGTATTATTTTGATTCTGCAAAATTTCAATCATCAGAAGTTAAAGTAGCGGGATAAAGAGGGTTTTATATTTCTGATTCTGCTTGTTTGTTTGAGCATTCAACACTTAACTAACGAATATTCCTTCTTTAACTGATGTTTAAACCATTAGGTTCCCGACACAAAAACTTCCAACTAAAAAAAATGTTCTACACAAAGACACCCATAACAGCAAACAAATAGTAGTTTGTACTAAGTACCCGAATCTTGAGTGAAGTACGCTGAAACCAGAGCTGCTGAGAGGGTTTAATCCAACCATAGCCAGGAATCAACGGAGTGGTCGAGTAATCCCCACTGTCCAAAAAATAGAGGTTCATAACTGATTTATTCTCCAAGTGGGAACCTTCGACACCGTGGACCTCCAAATTGTAGTTTCCAAATCCATCGATAATACGAACTCCGGGAGGATTAAGCTGTGACAAGGTGTTCTTCATGCCAACTATATGCTTCATCACGCCCTCCCTAGACAACGTAGACTCCTGGTCATGATTGCCTAGAACAGCAGCCCACGGAATGTTCGATGAGACAGCGGGGGCAAATGCGGCATTCATCGATGCTGCAGCATCACTCGCATCAAACCCATAGATGTTGTCCCCTACATCATCGTATCAACCTTCACATCAACTAATGATTCACAAATTTAGAGGAACACAATTGAGCAAGCCATAGTTCAAAAGCCAGGTTTGAAGTAAGGGAACACTAAAATTTTCCCCAACATTTCCCTCCAAAAACCTTAATTTCCCGATAAATTTCGCCAAGTTGGCGGGTTTCCGGCACGAACCCAGCAAATTCCCGGTGAAAAAGGATCAAACTTTGTTGGATACGAATTAGATAAAGTCGCGTAAATTGTATCAGAAAACAATGGAATGAAGCAAAGGGATCCATATACAAGTTCATTAATATCCTCACAGAAATCCTATGACAGCTTACAATCCCCAAGTCGTCATGAAAACGGCAAAGTATAAATGACAGGTTTTGTAAGAATCTAACAATGGATTATCAACAATTACATAGATATTACATGTATGAAATAATAGCCGCCGATAAACAAGAAACAGGGGCCGTACCCGTAAAAACAATAAAATCAGGTTTCTCGGCTCGAATAAGGCGGCGGATGAAGGCGGTGGTGTTGAGATCGGAGCAAGTTTTCATCTGCTGGGGGAAGACGTCCTCGCAAGGCGTTTTCCGACCGTCGGCGAAATGCATGTCCGCCACCTGCAAAATCCTGAAATCTCCCTTCTTGCCATCGAACCTCAGCTGCCGCCGCTGATGGCCGGCGGCGGCGACGTCGCAGCACAGTAAAGCAATCAACACCATTACCGCTGCAGTTCCCATCTTCTTCGCCTCCGGGAAAAACATAGTTAGCTTAGCAGGGACAATAAAATGGTGGTGAGAGAAAGCAAGAAAGACTGGAACTTTATTACAGTGAGTGACAAGTAGTAGATAGACTCTATTGATGGTACCCATATTAACCCAACTGCCCCGACCCAACTGTCCCGTTGCCCGTGACATTATTTATCTATTTGTCCTGTGAATTCTATCAAAAACAATCTCGCAAAACCGTATATATTCCATAGAATAGAATTTGTCGCTATGTGTTGCTTTGAATTTTGAATAGTAGTATTTTTCATCTTGTACCTTAACTAGGACAGTTGTCACAAGCGGAAGTTGAATATATTTCCCACACTAAGCAATGTAATTGTATAAGAGCAATCACAATGTTTTGAGCTATATTCCAAGAAATTATATGTCATTTAAAAATAGATCTAAGTCTAAAAAATATATTTTCTAATGTAAATAAAAACATACAGAAAAAGAGGTTCGGTCTCCCTTTAAATCTATTTTAGACCCCAAGTAGAGAACTAATCTTTTTGCATTGGAGTGTGTTTTGTTAATTTTACATAGTTTTATCCATGTCATCCAAGACTTGAGTTTATTTACATATCACATGTGTAAGACTATATTTAATGCATTGTAGATGCAGACATGATTGGGATATGGAGGGGGTGGACACAACAATCCCCACCAACTTGCCACATCAACTTTTGTCCACCATTTACTAAACATGATCCATAATTGTTCTTGTCTAATTCTCTATTTACAAAACATGATAAAAATATTGTGGAAAATTGAGATTACAAAAATACCCTTTCATCTTGTCCAGATCGTATCAGGTAATTTGCAAAGGTAATTGGGGAAAACACACACAGAGCTCGTGATCTAAAATTCGGCCCTCCCCTTCGAAGCATTCGTGGACCAAAAATTGAGGACGTTAAACAGCCTGTGTCGGTTCATTCATCTCGGCGTAGCTTCTACAATACGGCCATATCACCGGCGATTCGTCACCTTCAGTCAACTCGTAAGTGTTCCTCTTACGTTTCAATTTACTTTCCACCAATCCGAGTAATGATGCAATCTTTTGGTTTAGGACGCTTAAATTATGATTTATTAGGGTTGTATGTAATTCTCTTGTAGCATTTATAGTGAAGTTGAATTTAGATTAAGAAAGAATAGATAATCCGCGAGATGAATTCGAGTGGAGCCTTAAGGAGCCTTATCGAGCAGAGCTCGGCTCACTAACCAAACGAGCTTTAAATGAACTCGAGTCGGCTCGTTAAGGCCTCGAACTCGAGCCGAGGCAGGTTCGTTTAATTTAACAGCACTACGTGCCACATAGGAAAAACTAGACCCAAAACATTACAGATGTTCTAGCGTAAATAGAGCTTATCTTAATTATATGGGAAAAAAAAATAAAAGAATGCATATTGTTTAGAACATCTCCAATGGTCATTCTATTGTTCTATTTTATTGCCATATGGCACAAACAATCCTATGTGGTATGAAAAATGTCTAGAAGTTTTTCTAGATGTAGAAGTCATTCTAGAATACTTCTACTATATATTATATATATTTTATTCAATTTATCTCTCTTCTCCACACAATTAAAATTTTACACATCACAAATGACACCACAATTCACACTAACAATCGGAGATATAATTTTTTAATTTTCTTTCTCTATGTCATTCAACACACAAATTGACATTGTTTCATTGTAGATGTTCTTATAAGTCTACACTTGGAATCAGTGATGGTAGCTAAAATAATTGGAATATGTATAATTACAGTAAGAAAGTGGGAAAAAATATATGTCCTATATTATTCAAAAAACATGTACACATATATATAGGAACATAATGAGGCTAAACCTAATCCTACAAGATATAAACAAAATATATTCTAAAATGCTGGCGAATAAAATGACAATCAATCTCAATATATTTGGTACGCTCATGAAACGTATCATTATGAGACATCTTGACATCGCTCTAGCTATCACGATGAAGAGCAGTAGAGGATGACTGAGGGGCGCCAAGATCAGCAAGTAATCGACGCAACCATAATAGCTCTGCAGTGGAATCAGCAAGAGCACGATACTCAGACTCGGCACTCGAATGGGAAACCAAGGTTTGCTTTTTACTGCGCCAAGAGACAAGTGAATCACCGAAGAAGAAGCAATACCCGGTAGTGGAGCGACGATCAGTAGGATCTCCAGCCCAATCTGCATCAGAGTAGCCGCTAAGGGATAAGGAAGAACTGGCCGAGAAATGTAAACCATGCAATAAGGTGCCCTTCACATAGCGAAGGATGTTCAACACAGCAGAATGATGCGTGGTTCTCGGAGCAGCCATAAACTGACTCACAATATGAACAGCATGAGCTATATCAGGCCGAGTGACAGTCAAATATATCAAACTCCCAACGAGCTGGCGATATAATGTAGGATCCTCAAGAAGAGAACCATCCAATGGAGTAAGACGAATATCATAATCAAGAAGTGTGGAAGCTGTCTGACAATCAGTGAGACCGGCCCGAGCAAGAAGATCAGAGGCATACTTGGCTTGAGACAAATAGAAGCCATCGGAGGAATCATAAATCTCAAAACCCAGAAAATAGCGAAGACGACCCAAACTCTTCATCTCAAAATGCTGTCGAAGATAATCCTGTAAGTCGGAAATACCCGAAACATCATCCCACGTGATGATCACATCATCAACATAGAGCAACAAAACAATGATCCCAGATGAAGAGCGCCGAAAAAATAGGGCAGAATCATGATCACTCGTAGTGAAACCAAACTGAAACAATGCAGAACTGAACGTGGCGTACCAGGCACGAGGCGCTTGTTTCAAGCCATACAAAGCTCGACGCATACGACAATCCTTCCCAGAGGACAAGAACATAGGAGGATGAGTCATGTAAACCTCCTTAGATAATGCACCGTGCAAGAAGGCATTCTTAACATCTAACTGTAAAAGAGACCATCGACGAACTGCAGCAACTGCAAGTAAACAGCGTACAGTAGTAAGACGAGCAACCGGTGCAAATGTCTCTTCATAATATATGCCATACTCCTGTGAGTACCCCTTAGCAACGAGACGAGCTTTGTAGCGCTCAATAGACCCATATGAATTTGTTTTGATCTTGTAAACCCATTTGCATCCGATGGGTATCTTGCCAGCACGTAGATCAACTAGATCTCAAGTATGAGTCTTGTCTAAGGCCTGCAATTCCTCAGCCATAGCTTGTTGCCACAATGGATCAATACTCGCCTCATGAAAAGACCTAGGCTCATGATGAGATAATATGGCCGAATAACAATGATAATCAAGTAAGTGAGAAGGGGGACGACTTACACGAGTCGACCGTCGCTGATCAATAGCTGGCAAAAGTACAGAACCAGAAGAGGGCTCATTACGAACCGTCGGATCAGGATCCACAGGTGGAGCCACTCCAGAAGATGGAGGCATGACATGCGTGTCAATGAGCTGTGAGTCAGAACTTGTATCTGTATCTGGAAAAAGATCTGAAGTAATAGACATGAATAAAGGAGACGCCGAATCAAACAGAATGTGAAACTTAGACAAGGAGGAAAAAGTAGTATGTTCCCAAAAGGTAACATGACGCGAGATACCCAACCGATTAGAAATCGGATCCCAACACCTAAATCCTTTGTGTTCTACCCCATAACCCAAAAAACAACACAGACGAGCTCGGGGTTCTAATTTGGTCCGCTCATGGGACGGAAGAAAAAACAAAGCAAGCACAACCAAAAGGACGTAACTGAGTATAATCAAGACACTGACCATACAACCTCTCAAAAGGACTGACATCCCTAATGACTGATGAGGGTAACCGATTGATAGCATAAACAACAGTCAAGACTGCCTCACCCTAAAAACGATCAGGACACTGAGCAAAAAGAAGAAGAGCATGGACAGTATCAAGAATGTGACGGTGCTTACGTTCAGCTCGTCCATTTTTTTGGGAAGTATATAGACATGAACGTTGAACTAAGGTGCCCTGATGAGAAAGAAATTTCAAAAAAGTAGAATCCTTGTACTCAAGAGCATTGTCAGTACGCAAGACCTTTATAGGACAAGAAAATTGTGTAAGAATCATTTTAGCAAATTGAACATATATGCTGGATAACTCAGAACGATTTTTGAGAAAATAGATCTAGGTAAAACGAGAAATATCATCAACAAAGATAACAAAATACCGACAACCACTTAGAGAAGCAACAGGAGAAGGACCCCAAATATCAGAATGTACCAAATCAAAAGGTGTATCAGCAGTTGACAAACTATCAGAAAAAGAATGAGTCGGTTGTTTCCCAAGTTTGCAATGAAGACAACTAAAAGACTCAAAATGACCTGAAACCAAAAGACCCTTATTATATAAAGAACGAACTTTATTCGAAGACGCATGCCCAAGACGAAGATGCCACTGGAAACTAGACTTACTATCGGTGGCAGAAGCAGAAAAAGAGTAAGAACGAGGGACATGAAGTTACTCAAGCTCAAATAACCGGCCCGTCTTGCGACCTTTCCCGAGAAGCTGTCCCATCTGTGAATCCTGAACCCGAACACCAGAAGATGAAAATATAACATTAAGACCTTGGTCAACCAATTGACCAACAGAAATAAGATTCAAGGCCAAGTCAGGAATGCAGTATGTGTCGGGAAGATGCAAGGAAGGGGAAGAAATTAAACCAGTGTGAGTAACATTCATAAGAGTACCATTAGCAGTATGTATACGAGGTAAAGAGGTTACGGAAGACGAGGAAGACAAAAGCTGCGGGCTAGAGGTCATGTGATTGCAACAGCCAGAATCAAAATACCAATGTGATTTACCTCCGGTAGCAGACATAGAAGAATTGGAAAGAATAACCTGTTTGAGAATAGCCTCTATGTCTTGAAGAGTGTAAGACGAATACTGAGACTCAGTAGTGACAGCCGTTGTAACAGAAGAAGTGGCGGTAGAGGAAGACCCATGATGTCGAGAGAATGAACCTCTCGAACGGTGTGATCTGGCTGGACAATATGTAGCAATATGACCCCGAACATGGCAAATGTGGCATACCACCGTAGGACAAAATGGAGCAATATGACCCTGAACATGGAAAATGTGGCAGACCACCATAGAAGAATCCATATCCAAAAAAATAAAGAAGCACCAGCAACCAGCAACCAACAACAATACGAAGACGAAAGAAAATCACGAACTGGATCACAAACCGGATAAAATAGCAATAAAAGGTCAAAATTAAAAACGGCACAAAAATCAAAATTGACCACACCAGGACGTAGCCGCCGATGAGAGGAGTCGACGGCTGAATAATCACGGCGATCGGAGCTGGGGGTGAATCTCACGCGCCGGCTGAAGCTGCCAACACTGTCGCAATGTTCCGGCGAGTGTGGGTCCCATGCGCCTCCGAACGGGCCCAAATTTTGACCGACGGCTCGCCGGAAGATGCCGGAGAGGATGGTCTGGGAGGTGAGAATAGAAGATGGCCAGAGACGAGCGAAAAATACTAACCCTATATTGGACTATAAACCTAATCTGATACCATGTAAGAAAGTGGGAAAAATATATGTTCTATACATATATATAGGAACGTAATGAGCCTAAACCTAATCCTACAAGATATATACAACATATATTCTAACAATTACTTATTTATTTGTTTTTCTTTATTTATTTTAATAAAGTCATTATACACTATAAAATTAATGATTATAATATATATACTTATATATTATACATATGAATTAAATAAAAAATACATATTAATTAAATAGATTTAACCTAGTACGGCTAGTGAACCATTGAACCGATAGCTTCACCTGCCCTAGACCCCGTCCACAAGGGACATACATGCCTATCGCCTTAAAATTCACTTCTTTGCATTCCCTTCAACGAAAGATGACATCCTTTTCCCAACTTCGCACAGTCCCACAAAACAAACTCAGCCAAAAACATCTCATGGCCTCATCACTCACTAATCCTCTAATCTCCTCCAACTTCCTCCGCACCCAAAGCTTCTTCTCCACTTTACCTCGCGCACATATAACACTTTCCAGAAAATTCCCAATCCCACAATCCCTTCTCAACGGCAAAAATCCCAAGAAACCAACAATTATCCGAAATCACGCAGCTGTAGCTGCTCTGCTCTTCTCATCAGTCATTCCGCAAGCACTCGCACTAGATAATTCTCCCCCACAACCACCTCCCGCCCCACAAGTCACTGAGATCGAAGCCCAAAAGCCCGGCACGTCGTCTCCCTTCGGCCTGAACCTGATCCTGGACGCCCCCAAGCCGCAGTCCCAGCCCGCCTCAGATCTCCCGGAGGGTTCCCTGTGGCGCTACAGCGAGTTCTTAAACGCGGTGAGGAAGGGCAAGGTCGAGCGTGTGAGGTTCAGCAATGACGGAGGTGCCCTTCAGCTGACCGCCGTCGATGGTCGCAAGGCCGCCGTGGTGGTACCCAACGACCCGGACTTGATTGACATTTTGGCCTTGAGTGGCGTGGACATTTCAGTCTCCGAAGGAGAACCCGAGAACGGGCTGTTAAATTTCATAGTGAGTCTGCTTTTCCCCCTCCTGGCTTTCGGCGGGCTTTATTTCCTGTTCAGACGGGCCCAAGGCGGCCCGGAAGGGCCGGGCGGCCTTGGAGGGCCCATGGACTTCGGCCGGTCCAAATCCAGGTTCCAGGAGGTCCCGGAGACGGGCGTCACGTTTGCTGATGTGGCTGGTGCCGATCAAGCCAAGCTCGAGTTGCAAGAAGTGGTAGATTTCTTGAAAAACCCAGATAAATACACTGCACTGGGGGCCAAAATCCCTAAAGGTTGTCTTTTGGTGGGCCCTCCAGGCACTGGGAAGACCCTTTTGGCTCGAGCAGTGGCTGGCGAAGCTGGCGTGCCGTTTTTCTCTTGCGCAGCCTCAGAATTTGTAGAATTGTTTGTGGGAGTTGGGGCTTCGAGAGTCAGGGATTTGTTTGAGAAAGCAAAGTCGAAAGCGCCTTGCATTGTATTTATAGACGAAATTGATGCCGTTGGGCGGCAAAGAGGGGCCGGGCTTGGGGGTGGTAATGATGAGAGAGAGCAGACAATAAATCAGCTTTTGACCGAGATGGACGGGTTTTCGGGTAATTCAGGTGTGATTGTGCTGGCGGCGACTAACAGGCCTGATGTTCTTGATTCGGCCTTGTTGAGACCTGGGAGGTTCGACCGGCAGGTTATGGTGGACAGACCCGATGTTGCTGGCAGGGTTAAGATTCTTAAGGTTTGTGAACTTTGTCACTCTTTGTTTGTGTTTCTCCATGATAATCGAAATAAGCGTTCTGGATCTGTTTTGGTGTGACCAATGATTGAAATGCATAACCTGTAATTTGTGTTGCCAATCAAGGAAAAACACTCTTATTTTCTGGTAAATGTTATGTTGTAGGTTTTTAGCTTCGAGTAACCTGTCGTAGTCTATAGTTCCAGCTTAATATATCCATTTTTCATTTTCTTAGTTGTAGCAATTGAAAATTTATTTTGTAGTGTAGCTTCATTTATTCCTTTAGCAAACTGTATGTACCACTTAGAAAAGTTGGTCTCTTTTGCTACTATATAGTTGGTAATGTTATGGTACACTTGGAGTAATGGCGATAGTGATAGTATTTTGGTGCTACATGTTGCTGTGACTTGTTTGTTATGTAACCGGCTTTCGCATCAAATTTTGTTGGGGATGTATTTTTCCAAGCAAGGCAAGAGACAATTTTGTGCCGTATTCTCATTTTGTATTCACTATGCCAGGTCCATTCAAGAGGAAAGGCGCTTGCAAAGGATGTTGATTTCGAAAAGATTGCACGGAGGACACCAGGTTTCACAGGTGCAGATTTGCAAAACCTAATGAATGAGGCAGCCATTATTGCAGCACGACGTAACTTTACCGAAATAAGCAAAGACGAGATATCCGATGCCTTGGAGAGAATAATAGCTGGACCAGAGAAGAAAAATGCTGTTGTCTCTGATGAAAAGAAGAGACTTGTTGCTTACCACGGTAAGAAAGAAACGACAAGACAACATGTGCCAAATGATAATATTTCGGAGTGTTTTTTTTTTTTT